GTCATGTGTGGCTTAGCAACGGGGACACATTCTGAGAAATGTGTTGTTAGGCAATTTTGTCGTTGTGCAAGCATTGCGATTACTTACACACATCTAGATGGTATAGTCTAGTACATACCTGGGTTACGTGGTGGCATCCAGTACGCGGCCCATCATTGACCAAAGTGCCATGGTGCGACACATGTAGGTACCTTATCGGTAGTCTTGGTTGCAAGTGGTAGTAATCTAACTCAGTTGTCTTCTTCCGAAAATGGGAATTTGTTGACTCACACATTGAAGTCTAGACCTTTGGCCCATAGCTGTATGGAACACAACCCTGAAGGCTTTGGAACTCAATCTCTTCATCTTCCTGGCTCAGTTCCCAGGTAGCTCCAGGCTTCCACCCTAGTGGCTTCCAACAGAAATACCAACATTGACTGATTCATCACCCTGCTTTGGTCATAGACCCATCCTAAATCAGTCACATTAGCCCAAGGCTGGTACTGGTTGGTGGCCTGGATTAAGGTACTCACCTTTGTGACCTGGATGGAAAAGGGCCAGCCTAGAATGTTGAGCAATGTCAGGCAGGACAAAGAAATTGCCCATACTGAGAACTATGGAGTTCTTTTCCCAAACAGAGATGGGTGTTCCCAATGACCCATGCTGGGCTGCCTGACAGTTCTTCCTGTTACCTGTATATACATTATCAGAAATGCTTTACAGCACAACTCTTTCATTACTGAGCAGGCCATCTTAGTTGGGGCTTCTAAAGTTCACACATACTCTGTAGTAAAATCTACCCTGGATGGCACCTCAGGGTGCTACCCTGGGTATGTCCAGCCTTTACTTCTGCTCAAGACAAAATGGTGGGGCCTTCCATTGGGGCACCAGACAGATTAGTTGTTTTTCTAGTTGAGGGTCATGTAATATGAAGATTTGTCTAACGAACAAGAATAACTCAAGTCAGTAAGATATTTTCACTTTCCTTGGTCGCTCAGGGTGTAGGCAGAGACAACCTACATTGTATAATCCTCCCGTTTAGTTTTTTGTTTCATTTTCGAAGCATGTGTGATGGAATTTGCAAAGCTAAGCATTAAAAGAATGCCGCTCGGGCCTCCCCTGGTGGTGCAGGCGGTTGAGTGCTGCGCTGTGAAGCTGTCCGCAGCCTCTGCGGGACCAGTTCGATCCCGGCCAGCCAGCAAGGGTCCCACATGGCATGGCAGACATCTCCTGTCATGCCCACTGCTCCCCTCAGCAGTGTATTTTGTCAGTCTGCCTATTCTGCTCCCTGCTCTGTCGCTGGTGAATCCTCTCACCCTCCTGCGAATGTGGCCTGTACCCTGGATCTTGTATAAATAAATGAATAAATCTTTAAATAAATAAATAAAATAAAAGAATGCCTCTCCATCATATATCGGAATTCTCAGCTCTTCCCCAAGAGAGAGACCAGTTACTGATGCCACCCTGTGATTAGGGACTTACAAGAGCTATGTGGTCCTCTCAATCCTGGCCAGCCCGTGTTCCTGAACAGTGGCAGAAAGTTAACAGGGCAAAACCCAGCAGAAGTGGACTTTCGGAAAAGGGGGCCTGATATGAAGTAGTAGCCTCCCACAGCCCGTCACATCCTCCACCCCTCCTCCTCAGCAAGGATAGTGGGCCTTTGGAGACTTGGTGACTTGCTTGAGGAGTCATCATGGCCCCCCCAATTTCTACCCTCTGGGACTGGTCTTTCACAGGACGTTTCTTTTTTGGTGTAGATTTATTAGGCTTACTAATTCAGCCTTAGAGGCTGAGATAGCTTAACATTTTCTCAGGCAGTAGAAGTGACTTTAAAATTTAATGGGCCTCCCTGGTGGCGCAAAGGGTTAAGAGGCAACCTTTGAAGCTGTTGGCAGCCTCTGCAGCATGAGTTCCATCCCCTGCCAGGGAGCTACCCACATGGCACAGCAGACCTCTCCTGACTCGCCCGCTGCTCCCCTCAGCAGTGTATTTTAGTCAGTCTGCCTGTTCTGCTCCCCACTCTGTCTCTGGTGAATCCTCTCACCTCCCCCCCCGCCGCCCCCGCCTGTACCCCAGTTCTTGTTTGCATAAATAAACTAAATCTTTAAAAATAAATAAATAAAATTTAATAGATCCGCCTCACTATTTGTACAGTTGGTCGACTTTGTGGCTTGGTGCTTTGTCATCAAAGTCATATTAGACCTGACTAGTCCTGGTTCTTGAAATAAGGTCTCAGTTTCTTAGCAGTAGATTGCTGGAAACTTCCTTAGGTCTTATTGCTCCCATAGAGCTCTGCCTCCAAGCTACTGGAAACAGTAGCCTGGGATGCGAAGGCAAAACTAATATGCCCCAAGCTGCTGGCCAGTGGGAGTTCGTGTTGTGAGGGCTCACGGAGTGTTCTGTGACTTTAGCTAATAGGCAGAGAATACAGCCCTGGGCCTTCTTGGATTGCTTTCTACAGAGGGCCAGAGCCTCCATAGCACAGCTATTTCCTTCTCTACTTTTTGGTAAGCCACCCTCAAATGAAACTCATGTCTCTCAGTAGTAATTTCGTAAGGCCACAAGAAATGACCACATACCCGCGTCTCTGTAACAAGCCAGCCAGCTCCCCCATTCAGCAGGAGCCCATCTTGCCGCAGCCATTTCCACAAAGCTGTCACAGAGTTTCAGGTTCCTAAGTCAAAGTGCTTTGAGCAAAAGTAGGGTTGTATTGCCTAATGTAGCTGAAACTTCTGGGGAAGTTGCCCCCAGGGCTTGACCTGACGCACAGTTTGGAAGGATGGCCTCACCCCTTTCTCTCTTCTCTCCACTCTGCTTTCTTCAAAATCCCCTCCCCTCCCACCTACCTACTCCCCATTCTCTGGTAGCTTCACCCCAGCTTATCATCCTTACTAGGAAGACACACCCCTCTTGCCAGTGGATCCAGAAAAATTCCTAGGGTTGGCCTTTGTTCTCTAGGCCCCTGTCATGTGCCACCCCCACCCAGTCACTCTGGGGAGGACAGACACAGTCCCCGGCCATCTGTGTACACAGATGTACTTAGGCTGTTAAAGGAAAGGGCTGCCCCGATGAGCAACCACTGATGATGAGGGGATGTTGGCTCAGCCAATCAAAAAGGCCCACAGAAGAATTTGATAGAATATTTAGGAGGGGCAAATGAAGTTGAGAAAACAAATTTGTGAATAGCTTCTAGGTCTTCCAAGTGCTGGTTAGCTCAGCAGGACCCAACAGCAAGAATACTTGAACTTCGGCCTCCCTGGTGGCGCAGGGGATTAAGATGCAAACTACAAAGCTATCAGCAGCTGCTGCAGCATGAGTTCAATCCCCGGCCAGGGAGCTACCCACATGGCACAGCGGACCTCTCCTGTCTTGCCCACTGCTCCCCTCAGCAGTGTATTTTAGTCAGTCTGCCTGTTCTGCTCCCCACTCTGTCTATGGTGAATCCTCTCACTCCTCACACCTCTGTCCTATACCCCAGTTCTTGTATGCATAAATAAATTAATCTTAAAAAAAAGAATATGTGAACCACAATTGAAAGCCACCTAGCAACAATAGGTATAAAAGGAAACAAGTGAAATAATCATTTTAATGTGATCTTACTGAATAAAACTTTAAGAGACACAATATTATCATTTGACTTAGAATGAATAGATCTTTTGTCTCTTTTCGTACTAGTTTTTTGAAATCCAGTGCCTGTTGTAAATTGACAGCATGTGTCAGTCTGGGTGTCACATGGGACCAGGGGTTCCAGTGCAGGTTTAGCTGATTAACTTTCCAGAAAGAAGCTGGATCTCTGTCATCGGCCAAAAATTTATCCCTTGTGTTTCTATAAACTGGGGAGTTAGTTTGAAAGCATGAATCTCCTTAGTAGAAGAACTTGCCCTAAAATGAGCCTGAATTCACATTGCCATGTGGGTTCTCTGGCTGCTTCCCTTCTGAGAACACCCAGCATGCCCACCCGCAAGTACTCATTCAATTGTCTTCTCTTGGACTTTAAACCCAGCACACAGAAGACATGAAGTGAATTTTTTCTTAAAGATTTATTTATGCATACAAGGGCTGGGGAGCAGGCCAGAGATGTGGGGGGTGAGAGGATTCACCAGAGAGAGTGGGGAGCAGATCGGGCAGATGTACTGAAATACACTGCTTGAGGGGAGCAGTGGGGGAGTCAGGAGAGGTCTGCGGTGCCATGTGGGTCACCTCCCTGGCCTGCAGACAGCTTCATAGTGCTGCATGTTAACCTGTTGTACCACCAGGGAGGCCCCCATAAAGCGGTTTTTTTTTTTTTAAGTGGAATTGAATGATGTGAAAACTTAGGTGAGGTCTTCTCTTCGGCCAGGTTTGATGAGAAAATGGAGAGAGTAATACTAGTTGAAAACTAGGTTGAGTGTTGGCAATGTTTGTTATCCTGATGAATGACCATTCATAGTGTGTGACTAGTTGTGTTACGATTCAGTCACTCTTTCATTGATCGTGTACGCTGAAAGAGCGTGATGGAATACCGACGGAAACCCAGGCTCTGTGCCAAGCCCTGGATATACCAAGATAAGTGGGAAACAGTCACTGCCTTAAAGGAAGTGAGAAAATTGATAGGTGAAATAACTCTTATATTTAATGAGTGTTACGGTGCCAATAAACAGTGTTTGGGGAGTTAAGGAAAGAGTCTCAGCTCTGTTCAGAGACAGAATTCGACAGCCAAGATTAACTGGGGGGACTGGAGTCGAAGTTCCGTCTCGCCCCCCCCCCCACCAGGCCCCTATATTGAATCAATGAAAGTCAGTCTCCTAAACAGAATCCTAAAAGATCATAGGATTTATCCATCTGAGTGGAGATGGATGATCTTTGCATGTGCTAAAAGAGCTTGCATGAAGGCCCAGCCCCAGAGCCACAATCCCAGCTCTAGAGAATGCCAAGATCCCAAGAGAGATGGAGCAGAGGCTGCACCCTGGGCAGCTCACAGTCAGCCTCGCCTCTTGCTGTTCCTATGAGCAGTGACGAGCAATTGTCCTTTCTTACTACAGGCAAAGCGAAGGCTGGAGCTAGGAGAAAGCGGTCATCAGTACCTCTCAGATGGTTTAAAAACCCCCAAGGGCAAAGGAAGAGCTGCACTCCGAAGTCCAGATAGCCCAAAAAGTAAGGATTCTTTCATCTCTCACTCTCCTTGGTGTGGGCTTCCCAACTGTCAAAGCTTGTGGCTGAAAGGATGCCAAGGCGTGAAGAATCGGGGCACATTTTGTTGTTTCTCATTTCTTTCTGCGCCTATCCAAAAAAAATAAATACAACATCAGGAACACTGAGGAAAGGCTTACAGAGTCACTCTTGCACCTGAACTCTGATTCAAGGGGAGACCTCTGTAAAAAAAAGTGCATTTTTACTGTGCAACTCAAAATGCAAGCTCTTTGGCCCATTTTGGCCCAAAATGCAAGCTCATTCTATAGTCAAATTTATTTTCGCTTTCCTCTCGAAACATTACTTTGTAGACTAAGGCTAACTGGGTATAGATGAACTTTGCCACCTAGTTTCCTAGCTCAGCACATAGCCACATAAGAACTTACTGAGACCAGTAAATGACAGCTAGTTTCTCTTTCCGTCAAATCCAATCATCATTTCTTTTGGGAGAGAAAAATTAGGTTGAAAATAGCCAAATGGCCCTTTATGTCTTTTGCCTTCAAAACCAAGGCCGAATTAGACCTTTATTCTTGTAGTCTGTGCATTAGGCATTCCACAAATCATATGTGATGATCACTTAAATCCTTGACCTGTGCACCTGTCAGAGAATAAATACAATATCAAACAAGGACGTTTTGTTCAAGAGGGGCGGGCAGATTTGACTGAAAGATTTTTCCAGGTATTCTTCAGTAAAGAAGAATAAAGCAATCCAGGTATTGCTTCAAATAAGACAATATTTGAAAAACTGGCGAATAAGTTATAGACACACAGACATGGGAGACTGTCTGAACCCCCCCGTCAGGAAGTGCTGGAGAGACTCGTGGCCCCATCAAGTTTGGCTCCACGTGTGCTGATCCCATAAGACTACAGCACTTTCTCATTCACTCGACAGATATTTTTGAAAACCTACTATGTGGGAGATACTTCACTAGACCCAGGGAGTAGGGTAAGCCAAAGTAGAGCCTACGAGAAAAATCACAGTAAAATGCGCCAGTCCAATGAGAATGTGTCCTGTGCCTTCCTTTTCTAACCAAGCAATTTCATAGCTTTCTAGAGCTTAGCAGAAATCAACAGCAACAACAGCTCTGCTTCCGATACTAATACCTGGGCTGCTGAGGGGAACAAGGGCTTGCTTAACTGCAAAGAAACCCTTCATTGCTTTACCTTTCCCCCTATCCCCCACCCGCTCGGTTTTTGTTTTTCTTTAAGCTCCAAAATCTCCCTCAGAAAAAACACGGTATGATACGTCACTTGGTCTGCTCACCAAGAAGTTCATTCAGCTGCTGAGCCAATCACCTGATGGGGTCTTGGATTTGAACAAGGCGGCAGAAGTGCTCAAAGTACAAAAGAGAAGAATCTATGACATCACCAACGTGCTGGAAGGCATCCACCTCATTAAGAAGAAGTCTAAAAACAACGTGCAGTGGATGTGAGTAGGAGTCTCAGCCCCTCCCTCTGTTCCCGGGCTCTGGTGGGGTCCTTTCAGCACACATTGGGGTTGCCCCTGTCCTAACTTGGATGTCTGTGTGTGCTAACGTGTGATCTAATAGAAATTCACACGTCTTTCTGGCTTCTCTCTAATGGGACTTGGAAATTAACCAGAGCTATGTATTGCCGTCTGTGTACCGATGGACAATGGTGCAATCCTAGATATCTTTATCCATAGTTACAATGACAGATGAACCCACTTTCTAGATAAATGAAAATGCTTCAGTTCTTCTGGAAAGCAGGAATAACATGTGTCCCCTATACACCTACATGTATGATTAAATAGGTTCAAATGTCATTGGTGAACTCTGGGTTGATCACCCAGTATTTTTAAAGGAACTATTAAAGCATGGTTGGAGGGAGTAAATCTGTTCTGGGGTCTCTGAAGAAAGCTACTTAAAACATGATAACATGAATAGGTAACTTTTGTGGCTATTTGGTAAACCTATTTGGCATCTGCTTTAGAGAAAACTATTGGGTGTTGGTCTTTTTTTTTTTTTTCCTTTTATCAAATTTTATTGCCTGGAAGGCATTTGACAAAGAGCTGTATATATGAAAACAACAACAAAAAAAAGTACAAATGTTCTGATTTTAACACTTGACTAAAAAGCACTATGACCTCCTGTATCAAGAAGGACGTTAACTCAAGGGTCTCCCCCATCCCTCTTCCCCTTAGCCTCTCATGAGTGGCCATGAAGAGTCTGTTTTTCGGTTTCTAGGGGCTGCAGTCTGTCTGAGGACGGGGGCATGCTGGCCCAGTGTCAAGGCCTGTCAAAAGAAGTGACCGAGCTCAGTCAGGAAGAGAAGAAATTAGATGAATTGATCCAAAGCTGCACCCTGGACCTCAAACTGTTAACCGAGGATTCAGAGAATCAAAGATATCCTTTGTGCCACCTGTTCGTTGGGGGTTAGCGCTTTCCAGACTGTTTTCAGGCCTGATGATCTGATATCTATACCCAAGGTAGACTCTTCCTCTGGCTTCTTCTGTCTGTGTGTTTACATGTAAACCTGCGTCTCTTTACCTTAGAAGTCAGTATTTATGGAAGGTAATTATCGGACTAGATCCCTGTCGTACCTATTCTGATAGTCAGGTGGGAACTGTTTTTGAAAGCATTTTTATTCATGTGTGGTGGGGACATATGGATACACTCACAGCGTATAAGATACGTGAGGTGTCAGCATTAATATTAATGACAACATTCAGCAGACTCATCTTGGGCTTCCCAGATTTTTGGTGGGTGTTAGCTGTCACTGTTGGGGTTCTCACATTCTATTTTCTTTTCATCAGATATTAGAGCAATTGCAATTTGTTGAATCTGTCTGATTGAGCTGGAGTTGGGGGGTTTGAAAGAGTATAGAAATATCCTATAACTTTAGAGCGCATTATGCTGATCCACACCACCAAAAACAGAATTCAGAAGCACCCTAAGGCCTGAGGAATCTCAGTTTATCTGTTCATCTTCAAACGTTAGTCCTGAGGAATGGAAATATAAAAAGCCAGTTCGTATTCTCAACTGGTTTATGATCTGTTGACCATGCCAGGAAAACTTAATGGCCCATCATCTCCATAGACCCAAGAAGAGTGATCACGTCATAATATTGAATGGAAGACTTTGCGATAATTCAGCTATTTAGAAGGAGACAAAACCCCTGTTTTAAGTTACACCATTTCTCATTTTAGTTCCAAACTACTGATGATTTCACATTTGCTTTTTGCTAGAAAATGAAATGGTCCTGCCCCGTTTCTCCTAGTGCCTCTCATCTCTACTATCGGGTCTCCCTCAAAGAATACAAGGACATCTATTTTCCAGTTTGGGCAGTTTTTTTTGAAACTGTTCATTTCCTGTTGACCAAAGGATTAACCTTGGCAACTGATGATGAGTGAGAGGGAGAAGAGGGGATGATTTGAACCCCCAGTGGTGACCAGAGTGGGTTTACAGGGGAAGAAACCAAAATAGCTCTGGTTGGGCTGTTTCATTCATTGTTTAGGTGGGAGCCCCATTGTGGAGGAGATGTAGTGGTAATGCATGATTGGCAGCTTTCTGGAACATGTAGCTTATAGCCTTGTCACCTACATTAGCTCTCTCTGGGGCCTTTGTTGCAGAAAATGAAAGCTTCCCTGCAGGGGGCTGCTAACCCAAGAAGCAAATTCAGGAGGGAGCCGCAATGGAAGCACTTTTAAGTTTGTAAGATTAGAGAATATGTTTGCACCATTTATTTCAATTCGCGGTTCAGTTCCGAATTTGGTACAGCTTGTTCACAAATGTGTTGAAATTTCCCTTCCTGCAGCATGTTGAGTAATTGTAGATAAGTTTTTATTTTAATGAGTTCTTGTCACATAGCTCTTTGACAGTGGGCTGTGGGGTAAGTACCTGGCTATCAGTTTCCACAGTGTTCTCAGGAAAGATCCAGAAACTGTTGCGTCTTCCCAAAAGGCACCAGTTGGCTGTGTTAGTGACATGGATGGTGACCTGAGGATCCCACATGAGCTGAACATTGAATTAGTTACTTCAGAGCTCAACGTGGAAGTAGCTGTTGTCTCAACTGTTGAGCCTTAACGATGATAGTCTGTGATAGATGCCCCGAAATGTACATGCAGATTTGCATTGGATGCGCTTTTTTTCTGGGTAGTAGATTCATAGCTTTTTTTACTTTCTAATAAAAAGCTACTAATCTAAGGACTTTGTTTCATTGTGACTCTCTCAGCCCTATTTCTGTAGTAATCACATTAGATCTATTAGCTATTTATAGTCCTTGCAGAAATGTGTTCATGAAGTTGTGATTTGTTCTTTTAACCTCAGGGTTTTTTGTGGGTTAGTATTTAAAAAACAACTGGCTAAAGATGTTGTGCCTTACGTTACTCCACGCCCTTCATAGAAGAAAGGGATCTGTGCGACTAGATATTAAAATCTCTTTTAATACCTAGTAAAAGTTGCTCTCTGCAGACAAGCTTGCATGAATACTTCTGTCATATAATAAGTGTCATATTCTTTCATAATATCCTCTTTGGTTTGGCTGCCAGGGCATTTAAAAGAATCGTTAAGTGCTCAGAAGTAATTACCAAAATATCATTTCACTCTCCTCCTAAATCAGTGTTTCTCAACTTCATTCAGGTTGCAGAACACCGGAAGCTGCTTTCCTCCTTGGGAACACTGAGATATTGATAGAGTTAATGATATCATACAAAGGATAATTTTTCTAACAGAGAAATGATGACACTCTTACCAGTCGGCAATATATAATCACAGCTGCCCAGGTGCACTTAAGGAAACAAGCTGTCTGCCTGAGTGGTCCACATCTAGTCGCTACTCATTCACCTGGGTGACAGCTGACACTTGTTAATCAAGCAGCAGATAGAAATAGTCAAGCAGCAGATAGTCAAGCAGCAGATAGAAATCACTGAAATTTCCTACCAAAAAACGTTCTATTAATAGAACTTAAACTTTTTTTCCTGTAAATTGCGATCTGTTTAAGATGGGCAACAGAACATTCCATTGCACTCAGAGGATATCCATGCTCCGGATGAACCACGTTTGAAAATCCCTGACCCTATTGGGTTTTCTTTTGGTAGTTTATTCTGTTTTTGTGTTTGTTTAATATTTTCAAGGGCCATGGATTTTTTTTTTTAGAAATGGGCAGGGAAAAGCCATACGTTTCTTTCGTCACTTAGTATATAATTACGAAAGAAGATTCAGGAGGATTCTATATGGTTAAAGACTTAGCAGAAGAAACACACGTATATGTTCCGATAAGTCAAAATACTTAAATCTTTTTTTCCAGCACTCTATCTTGTCACCCTCATAATGTGTGCACCTGAGGCGACTAAATGGAAGATTTCCTTAACACTCATTACATTAGCTTATGTTACATATCAAGATATTCGAAAAATTAGTGGCCTTAAAGACCAAACTGTTATAGTTGTGAAAGCCCCTCCAGAAACAAGACTTGAAGTGCCTGACCCAATAGAGGTAAGGAGACAACATCTTCGTTCATCTGCAGAGATCTTTTTAGATTGTCTGAAGTTGAAAAGTCATTGACTTGTGGTTAAAGTCTGTGTCCTCCTAAAAAACTCGAGCATTCTTTCCTGTCCATTTACATAACCTGAAATCTTGGACAGTTCAACCATCTGATAGGTCTTGAGTGTCCACAAAGTCTAGTTGTAACAGCGGGCTGTTCAAAATGGCACATGATGCCCGCCTGCCCTCTACTCTCCTTTCTTTGCTTTTTCATAGTTTGTTATCCAGTAGTTTCCATCAATTGGAAGCATTTGGGGAATGCTGTGTGTTCTAGCCTGGATCTCATTTCCACTGTAAATAGAGATATAAATATGTCAAACTATCTCCCTACGTTATCTTAGCACCTTTTAAGAATTTACCATTTACGACATGTGTGCTTTTCAGAAATCAAATGGGACTTTGTGTTAATCAATAGACTAGAATATTGTAAGAAAACAGGGAGCATATTTTTGTGATTGGTTTCAGATGTACAGCCGGCCCTTGAACAACATGGCTTTGAACTGCCAACATCCACTCAGGAGGTTTTCTTAAAGCACACAACATATCCAGTGTTGATAAATACCGAACAGAGCTATAAATGTATTTTCTCTTCCTTTTGATTTTTCTCATAGCATTTTCTTTTCTCTAGCTTCCTTTATTTACAAATCCATATAACAAATCCATATAACATATAAAATGTACTATTCAACTATTCATGTTATCAATAAGACTTCCAGGCAACAGCGGCCTGTTAGTTAAGTTATGGGTGAGTCGAGTTATACATGGATTTGAACTTCATGGGGAGGTACCCCTCACCCCATGTCGTTTGAGGGTCAACTGTACTTTAACAATACAGGCTGAGACTATAACTAGAAGATTAAAAAAATGTAGTAATATGCATAGAAAATAAAAAGAGAATGAAATTTGCAGGCTCCCATCTGGGCTAGAGTTCTCACCTTAAATGATAATAATAGCTCTATGACCTAGATGAAGAAGAATTTTAAATATTAGTATGCTGCATTCTCTTATTACACTCAGTTCCTAGCACTTAAGAATACAATTCATCCAGTAGTTATTAAAGTTCAGCATAAAAAGATCCTTCCATAAAGGAATAATAACCTGGAAATACTGAATTTGGAACACTTAGAGGACTTTTTGATAGTTTAATATAAAATGAGTAGATATAAAGAACACAATGCACCTTACTATAGTGCCGCTTTTACAGAAAGATACCCTTCCCTCCACCCCATGCCGACTGCTTTCGTACTGTAGGTCAGGGGTCAGTAAACTTTTCCTTTAAGAGGCCAGACAAGTGCCCATTGTTGGCTTTGTAAGTGGTATAGTCGCCATCGGGACTGCTCCTGTGCAAGGCTCTGCCATTGTAGCATTGAGAGGGGAAAACAGCCAGGGGCAGTCCAGAGCAATGGAACGGGTATGACTGTCTGCCAGCTACACTTTATTTACAAAGCCGGTGGGTGGAGCCTGGCCTGGATTTGGCCCTGGGGTTGTGGTTTGATGCTCCCTGCTTTCGAGGGTACCCATCTTTGTTAGAGGTAGACTCCCGGAGAAGCAGCAAAATGAGCCATGAGAACTACCTTTACTTTCCATTTTTAGATGATAATCACCCTAACTTACATTTCTAAAAGGAATTTCAGTTCAAGCTTCTCACTTCTTGTGTTCGCAGAGCCTACAAATACATTTGACCAGTACCCAAGGACCCATTGAGGTTTACTTGTGTCCAGAAGAGACTGAAACACACAGTCCAATGAAAACAAACACCCAAGACCACAATGGGAATATCCCTAAACCCACTTCCAAAGGTAAAATTTCCACCTTGTCATTTGGGAACTATGTTAAAAATGAAGGTGACTAACTAGGAGGATCCTCTATCAGAACCACAAGTCCAGGCAAGAAAGAAAAACTTCTGTTATTGTTGTCATTAAAGTAACTTTTTATAAAAAGGCATTCTGATGAGTTGACAGAATAAAAGAATGGTCTTGGGCCACCAACTCCTCCACCCATTAATGAAGGCCCTTTGGCTTTTGCTGTTGGCAGAAGCCATTTCCTTACAGTAAGGAGAGAAGCTGGGAGCTCTCTGGGTGAATCATCAGCTACCTTTGGTCACACACCTTTGAAGGATGCTGCAGGGATCGTTAGACAAGGAAATGAAAGAAATTTAGAGAAAAGTTTTTGTTGCAGTTTTGTATTAATATTTTTCCCAGTATGATGGGGAGGGGGATATGAGGAGGGAGACGCCCCCCCAGAAATGCATCTGCTTCCTCTTTCCACTGTCCCCAGAACAAAGGATCCCTTGCAGTCTTTGTGCAATCTTTGTGTGTGTGTGTGTGTGTGTGTGTGTGTGTGTGTGTGTGTGTGTGTGTGTGTGAGAGAGAGAGAGAGTTTCAGATTGGGGGTGTGTGTTCAGTTTCTACCCCTCTGTCTACCAGTATAGCAGCAAGAATAGGAGTGATTTAAGTGAACAGGTCTAATTTAATACTGAGCAAAAAAAAAAAAAAGCCCACAGCACTTCAAACGTAAAGCAAAACTTAGTGTTTTTCATCATAGGAATTCAAAGTGGATATGTCTTATTTGTTTAGAGGTGTCTTCATAAACTGGTTGTTCCAAAGACTTACATTATAGTTGGTGAATTTCACTGGGGAACCAACTTTTCTTGAGACAACTGATATCAAAGAGAAGTTTTTGAACTCGTTAGCCTCACATCTATTGAAGCTATTTAGTATCCTTGTTTGGTAACAGTAGGTATTTGAAAAGATGAGTGAGTCGACTAGACCAAAGAAAGGCAGGACTCTGGGGCCTCCCCTGGTGGCGCAGGTGGTTTAGCGCCATGCTGTGAAGCTGTCCGCAGCCTCTGCAGCACCACTTCGATCCCAGCCGGCCGGCAAGAGTCCCACATGGTGCGACAGACCTCTCCTGTCTCACCCGCTGCTCCCCTCAGCAGTGTATTTTTTCAGTCTGCCTGTTCTGTTCCCCGCTCTGGCTCTGGTGAATCCTCTCACCCTCCCACGCATCTGGCCTGTATCCTGGTTCTTGTATAAATACATAAATTAACTTAAAAAAAAAGGGCAGGACTCTACTAACAGAGCCCCTAGACTAAGTTGGACATTCTTACAGTCATCTGACTGTCCTTAGGAAAGGGTGTGTGTTCGTAAGAACAGTGTGTGTGTGTGTGTGTGTGTGTGTGTGTTCTCCCAGAAAAATGAGTGTGATTTCTTTCCTAACTCATTTTTTTGTTTCCATCAAATTTTTCCTTCCAGACTTGGCTTCAACCAACTCAGGACATAGTGATTGCTCGATTTCTATGGCAAACCTTTCTCCTCTGGCCTCCCCAACCAACCTTTTACAGCAGACTGAGGACCAAATTCCTTCCAACCTAGAAGGACCATTTGTGAACTTACTGCCTCCCCTGCTCCAAGAAGACTATCTCCTAAGCCTTGGGGAGGAAGAAGGCATCAGCGATCTCTTCGATGCTTATGATTTGGAAAAGCTCCCCCTGGTGGAAGACTTTATGTGTAGTTGATTATGCTTTGTGTGAACTCCCCTTATAAACCAATATTTTTTTATCCTGGAACCAGAACATCTGTCATGCAGTGTTGTCCCTTCCTACCTTCTTCCTCCAAGATAGTATCATGAAGTAAACTGTAAACTTCAGAACAAAGCTGACATTTTAATCAATTGAAAAAAAAAATTTTTTTTTTTTTTTAAATTTTATTTTATTTTATTTTTTTTTTTTGTCTAAACGCACAGTCGCAGGCTCCCTCTGGAAAGCCCTGCTTTGCCCCAGGCTCCAAAATCTCCTGGATGAGTCAGCAAGTGAGAAAATGTGCAATCAGGTGTCTCTCACCGTATCTTTCCTCCCTCCTTCCTGGACTGGCTTGCTGTGCCTGACGGATGGGCTGTAGAAGGGGGTCTGGCCACCTGGCCCACTTGAAAACAGCAATCTTCCTTAATAGCATTTCAAGCCGTGCCTTCTCCACGGAATGCATGTCTTTGGGGTCTGCTAATATGGAATGGAACGGCAGGAACTGTAAACTTGAAGTCATGCAAGAGTATGAAATGGATTTCTTCAACTCTTTCTTAGGAATATTTAAATTACTGTCGTCGTGCAGTGTAAGCTACGGACCGCGTGTCCCACTCGGAGGTCACCAGCGCCTCCCTCCACAGCCTTTCGGAGAAAGAACCCGATTTCAGATCTTCGTGGCAGAGACAGAAGAACAGTCGAATTCTGCCACTCGAGCTGTTGTGGATTTTTCCCCGTCTCCAGAAACCACTCCGACTCTTCCCCACCCCTCCGCGTATTTGTGAGTTTAAAGTTGATTTGTAGCAAATGCCTACTTAGGAGTTCTTTGTGGATTGTTTGATTAGACTTGCGTCGTGGGTTTGTTTCGTTTTTTTTTTTTTTTAGCTGCCATTTAAGCATTCCTGTGGTCCCCATCACCATTTCAATTTAATTGTTTACTAAGAAACGGTTTTTTGCTCATTTGAGTTATTTAAGCAGAGGGAGAGAACTTCTATCGATCATCGAAACCTGTGTGATCTGTTTTACCAGCCTCTGCAAAGAAGCGTCGCCCCGTCTTGCTTCCTGTCCCAGGAGGGGGAGCTTCTGAGCCCGGCGGGACATGGGTCGCCCCTTTGAAAAGAGAACCGGGTCAGGTGACAGCGGGCCCAAGGAGCAGCAGGTGTGGGCGCCTCTGTCCTTGGGCTTCCCGGCCCCGGGGACCGGGGAAAGGGCTCTCTTCTACTCACTCAGGGAGACCACTTCTCAGGATGGGGGCCGACGGAGCGGCCTCTAGGGAGCACGACATCCCACTGCCCGCGCGGTGTTGCGGGGGGCACTGACTGAGACAGGTGAGATCAGGCTGCTCCCACCGTGTCGGGGGCCGCGGCAGCCCTGGCCAGAGCCCGTGTCCCCTTCCTCTGGGAAGGAGCGAGTGGGACTGAGGGAAGTCAGGACGCAGAGGGAGAGGCCCTGGGTGTCCCCAGCTAGAGGCTTCGCGCCAGCTGCAGATCCTACCAGTGACGTCCAAAGTGGCTTTCCCGCCGGCCCGCTGGGAAAGTGGCTTCGTACCTCAAATCCGTCCCTTGGGCAGTAGGGACTGCGGGGATGAGGGAGTCCTACAAAAAAAAAAAACAAACCTCCGAAGGAACAGTTAAATTGAAATGCCACGTGCCTGACCCAGGGGTGGGCACACAGCAGGCACTCGATTCAGAGGTGTTCCATGGAATCGAACATATCCCTTAGGAAAAAATAACAGAAAACCGTGAAAAGCCCCAGCCAGTTGACTCGAGGTGGATTTCCACAATATGCAAAGTGGTGGTGGTGGGGTCAAAACAAGTGACACCAGCACTTTAAACTATTTGTGTAGGTATGCATGGGTGTATGTTTGGGAAGAAAACAAAGGTGCAGATTATCTTCCTTTTTCTTCTTCGGCCTCCACCCCCAGCCTCCCCCCTCACGCACACTGGACTTGGTACAAAATATCCCGTGTGGTCTAAGATGAAGCATTTGGGGTGGGGGAGGGAGGGGGAGCTTTGTGTCAAGTGCCTACTGGAAATGCACTGTGGGGTTTTTTCCTGTATGGGAAACCATTTATGCCAAGCTTTTCCCTATGTCCCATATTTATCTCATCTGGTTTGCTGCCTCTGCTTCCAGCTTTGTGTCCTTTTCTCTCCGCCAGCTGCACAAAGCTGATTTTTTTCCAAAGTCTAAAGACTGAACTCACCTGGCTAGGTTGTTGTTTGAGTGTTTTGTTGACTTTCTCCTTAAACCTTTTCGTAATGTTAATGCCGTATTTATTTTAAAAGAGAAAGGAATACTAATAAGTCTTAAAAGTTCCTTCACGCATAAGGTTTTCTTCCAGTTAATGGGCCTAACTGGTGTACGTGAACTCGATGCCCATACTGTATTCTGTTTGCATTTGTCATCTTTCCCTTTGACATAGTGTCTGGCACACGAAGTTAGTACTACAGTATTTGTGTTACTTTACGTACTAAGTATGCAGGTTCCCCGGTACCATTGAGTTGCTGCTATTTAAGCTCACACATGAAATGGCTAAAAGTTACAAGTGTGCGAATTATGACTGCGTGAGCCTTAGAAAATAAAATGTTTATAAAGGGCAACACATGAGCTGTCAAACAGTGTTAGGTGTGTGTTTATATGTACAGATTTGTGCATAGCGTCCATTTTATTTAAGTTGAGATGTAGTCTGCTCACTTTTTCATTATCTAGCAATTTTGTACAATACTAGCGATTCATTTGTAAACACTGCCAGAATATTTTCTAGCTGGTTTGTAATTTTTTAAGAGTGTTCCTTTGGTTTTGTTGTTGTCGTGGGTCTCGTTTTCCTTTTTTTTTGTTGTAAGTGTAGATCTGTAAATAAAATTGCAGTATTTAAAAGTTTTAGCTTTCAGGAAAAAGAACTCAGTGTGTGCATGACGACTCGTGTGTATGAGAGGAGGGATTTGAAGGAAGATGCCTTGGAGAGTGAGTTGGGTGGTAATTGTCAGATTGTGGGAATTTCTTTTCCTATAGGGTACATGATTTTGTCAAACGAAAGTATTTCTCCCAAAATTGGGAGTAGGCAACTACTAATCAGTTTAGCTTTGTGTTGTATGCTAGTTTAAAAAAGAAAATATGTAATATAATGTAAAAAAAAAAAAAGCTTTTATGATGGATTTTGTAAATAGATTTGTTACAGGGTAACCTGTTCTAGCTGTGATCTTACCACTTCAAATGGGTGTAATTTGAATAAATTTTGTATGGTAAAGGATCAATAAAATGATTTTTTTTAAGAGTTTAGACTTGTGAATGAGTTTTCTTAATATTATCTTATGCTCCTACATTAACTTCCTGTTTAAAGACATGCTTTTAACAAGGTAAGGGGGAAGGCTACACAGAAGTTCAAAAGAACCACTGTATGCTTAGTCTTGACACTTTGTGAACACACCATTTGGGAAGCCTCCTACCACCTGCAGAAACCACCCCAGCCTTGGAAGGATTTCTTTTTCTTTTTCTTTTCTTTTTTCTTTTTTTTTTTTTTTTAAGATTATTTATTTATGCAAGCACTGGGTACAGTCAGAAGTGCGGGAGGGTGAGCGAATTCACCAGAGGCAGAGCGGGGAACAGAACAGGCAGACTGACCAAATACACTGCTGAGGGGAGCAGCGGGCACGGCAGGAGAGGTCTGTCGCTCCATGTGGGACCCTCGCCTGTGGCCGGGGATCAAACAGGCCCTGCAGAGGCTGCAGGCAGCTTTGCAGCCCAGCGCTCAACCGCTGCGCCACCAGGGGAGGCCCAGGATTTTTTTTTAAGATTTATTTACTTATTTATATAAGCACTGGGTACAGTCAGAGGCGCAGGAGGGTGAGAGAATTCATCAGAGCCAGAGCCGGGAACAGAACAGGCAGACTGATGAAATACTCTGCTGAGGGGAGCAGCGGGCGGCAGGAGAGGTCTGCGCTCCATGTGGGACCCTCAGCTGCGGCCAGGGATAGAACTGACACTGTGGAGGCTGCGTACAGCTTTGCAGCCCAGTGCTCAACCGCTGCACCACTGGGGAGGCCCTTGGAAGGATTTTTATACTGTGAAAGTGACAGATAGGTCAAGATTCATTCCTCATAAAAAATATGAAACCAATAGGTCTTACTTCTCAGCATAGGTGATCATCTCCCTTATTTCAGATTCTGTGTTTCTTGTATTGCAAGCTACAAACAGATTAGAAGAATGTTGTTGACTGCCATGTCTTATCCAAAATTTACAGAATGTTGTGTGTGTATCACACATAAACACAATAGACAAGATTGTGAAGTTCAAAAAGGAAATATTCCCCGGCCCCCCCAATCTATTCACCTCAGAGATAACCACTATTCTCATTTTTCTTGTGTATTTTAACTTCAATCATTTCTTCTACATAATGATCGTCAACCTTTTTACATTAAATACCTCTCTGACATCTTCCCGCTTTTGTACTTAGGAGATCATGTTCACGCTCCTCAGGGCTACATACCATGCCAATAATTCTAAAAATAATGATTTCCATGATTAAAATTTTACTTAATAACTTGCTTACCCAGGTAATGTCCTGTTTAAGAGATATTTTTGTTTTTAAAATATTTAAGGTCTATTGAATGTTTCTATTATGCCAGGTAAGGTACAATTTTGTTGTTATTTTTAAGATTTATTTATGCATACAAGAACTGGGGTGTAGGCCAGAGGGGGGACAGTGTCAGAGGACACCAGAGACAGTGGGGAGCAGAGCAGGCAGATTTACTGAAATACACTGCCGAGGTGAGTGGCAGGTAAGACAGGAGAGGTCTGCTGCGCCATGTGGGTAGCTCCCTGGCCGAGGATCGAACACATGTCACAGTGGCTGGCCACAACTTGATAGCGCTGAGACTTTAACCCTGTGCCACCAGGGAGGCCCAACCAGGTATGATGTTTTTAATGTGGTAAAATACACAACATAAAATTTATCATTGAGATATTTAATCCACTCATAATGTCATGTGCTGTTCTCCACTACCTTGGCCCAAAGCAGTTTCATCACAAAAGGAAACCCATAGCCATTAAACAGCATCTCTCCACCCGCTGGACTCGCAGCCCCTGGCAACCACTCTGCTCTCTGTGCCCGTGGGTTTAATCTGGATATATCCTGTGAATGGAATCATACAATCTAACTGCTGATCTCTAACTTTTTTGGCTTA